CTACTATGGAGCGAAACAAATTTACTATGCAAAATTATATAAGGCTAAATAGTAAGATCGTGGTTAGAGGGGAGGCTAAGAGGGATGGGGTGGGACAAAGAAACTCACAGCAATACTATGAACAGGCAGCACTTGCCCGAACATTCCTATGACATTCAATACTATGAATTTTCGGGCAAGTGCTGCCTGTTGATCAAAATGCAATAGATGAACATGTTGAAGCATGCCAGTCTTCACGAATGTCAATGACTTCAAGTACGAATAGATGAACTGGGGTTTTCCACTGGGTTCGACATGGACTTGTCTACTGGACCCGAGCGACGTTCCGTTAGTACGTGCGTGTCGAAACCAGCAAACAAACGTCTGTCAGACAAAATGGGGAAGTCCAAGGAAGCGGGGGATAAAAGTGGAGCTGTGAAGGAATGATAAAGGTGGAATAGTACACAAAGCGTGCGAGGAAGACGGGTAGACCCGGGCAGCACCATCCTCAGTTCTTTCCCCATATTCGATGCAGCACATAGGACGCCATCGATTGTTCTTCGCAACGGCTAAATAATCAAGAAATTGTTTTAAGATACATTCATTGTCTTGCATGATCATGATACTGCCAGGCTGCCCTAGCCTAGACAGGAGAACGATTGAGATTCTCAGTCAAAGCCTTCGGATCAAAAACCCGACCGCAAGACGAAGCGATTTTGTCAGTATGAGCAACTCTCACTCCAGAATCCTGAGTTCGCTTGACCTCGATCACCGGCCAGTTTGGTATGGGTATCGTAAATTTTCGGATGGTATCCAAGAATCTGCGGATCAGGATAAACAGGCTGCTCACATTTCAAGCACGCCCGGCGACTCCTGCTGCGGCCTGCGAGTAGCCTTCACAAACGTTTGCAGTGTTATGAACAAGCGCGATGAGCTTTGTTATTTCGTTGCTTCTGAGCGGCCAGACGTAGTGGGATTCGCAGAGACATGGCTGCATTCAGAGTTATATACCCAGGCACTTGAACTCAACGGTTACTCGTGCTTCCGATGCGATAGACTAACGAATGCCCGCGGTGGTATCTTACTTTACATCCGGTCTTCCCTGCGTAGAAGACTTGTGAGCACCTACCGAAGTGACGACGGTTTGTGTGAGCTACTGTGGTACTCCATCCGCCTCAGGCGCGGAAAATTACTTGTGAGTGCAGTTGATCGCAGTCCCCTGAGTCGTTGTTCGGATTGGCTGCTCCATCTTCGAACCCACATGAGTCGTCCACGCTTTCTACTTATGGGCGATTTTAACTGTCCTCGAATACGATGGCCTGATGTGCATTTGATGCCCGAACACAGTGATGTTGAAGCAAAGTTTGTGGATTTGGTACTTGAAACTGGTGCATCGCAACACATATGCCAGCCAACACGTATAACACCACGCTCAACCCCATCCTGTCTAGACCTGATGTTAACGAGCTACGAACAACGAGTGCGTGACTTTCGGATCCTGGAGCTCCTGGCTACAAGCGACCACTCAGGGTTCATATGTTTACCGTATTCACCTCCTCTGGAACCAACTTACAACTACTGGAAAACGAACTTCGACGGTCTAGCTCGAGCCGCGAGCCAACTGAATTGTTCTCTGTCACAAGCTGCATCTGTGGAAGACTGTTGGATTTTTTTATAAAAGAGAGATTGACATCATTGTGTTCCCAATTTGTGCCGTTGAAATGTCGGAAGGTTGGACCGATTAAGCCTCATTGGTTTGACAAGGAGTATGGAAACCTGGCTCGGAGGCGGCGCAGACTGTGGGACCGATTCCTCCTCTCTAGCTCGGCCAATAAGTACGAAGAGTATAAAAGTCAGCGGAACCTCTGCAACAGCGCAAAAAGGAATAAGCACTGACATTTCGGAGAGCAGCTCGCAGTAGCCACGAAGACCGCCCCAAATAGAATATTTGCTTACGTGAAGCGACGCCTGAGGCCGGCAAGTGATGTGCCAGTGCTAGATGTCAAGACGGACAGCCCCTAACCTCGAGCACTGAACGTGCGTCCGTGTTGGCGGCGCATTTCGATTCTGTATTTGCAAATGACCAGGTATCTGTTCCAAGTTCGACGTGTACCGCCCTAGCCGAACTCGACAGTCTGAATTACGGCTTTGAAGAATTATGCCGACTACTCGCCAGCCTTGTCGGCACCAAACCTGCCGGACCTGATGGGCTTCACCCACTGATTCTCAAGTCACTTTCGGCCATCAGCTGTCCTGTCTTGATTGACTTTTTCAGCAGGTCGCTGTCCGTAGGTTCGTTGCCGATTGACTAGAAATGTTCGGTGGTAAAGCCTATTATGAAAGGTGGCGACCCTAGCAAAGTAGACAACTACAGGCCAATTTGTCTGACACCCATTTTGGCAAAGGTTGCTGAGAAAATCGCAAAAAGGGAATATTGCAGCTGCTACAGTCAAAAGAAGTGCTGACGCCCGCACAGCACGATTTTATGCAAAGCCGCTCATGCATTACAATTTTTCTTGTGACTAGGCATGTGTAATTGTAGTCTGTCGACGTGATATTCGTCGATTTCAGTAAAGCGTTCGGCAATATCAGCCATGAGGTTCTCCTTCACAAACTCAGGATGTGTGGTATGTGTGGCTCACTGCACCGGTGGATCCGCGACTTTCTTGTTGGACGAAAGTGGAGGGTGCAGGTCGACGACCATCTAACTGACTGGTATCTCTCTACAAGTGCTGTGCCTCAGGGCACTGTGCTTTGGCCCACTCTGTTCCTGATCCACATCAACGATCTACCTCAGCTTCTCCGGTCCCCGTGTGTCTTGTTTGCGGACGACATGAAGATTTGGAGAGAAATTGACCCTCCCGACAACTGTGGGGTACTTCATCAACTGCCTATCCACCTGGTCTGTAGAAGTTCGTCTCCCGGTCAACCCAGCCAAGTCTGTATTTATTAGCCTGGGGAAGGGTGCTGACGGCCGAACCTACACCCTTGATGGCCAACCGCTATATCCCACACCCTCTGTGAAGGACCTAGGTGTACTCGCGCGCTACGATTTGAAGTCCGTGGACAACACAAACAGGCTATATCGTAGCGGACTGCGCATGTTTTGGGTGCTCAAACGTAGCTTCGGCACATGGTCTGAATAGGTTGCCACTCGCCTGTTATCTTCCATCACTAGACCAATGCTAGAGTACCGTTCGCCCGCGCACTTTCCGATTACCCGAGGCGAGGCATAAAAGATCGAACGGGTTAAACACGTTGCTGCGAGGTTCATCCCGTGTTTACGTGGCTTGGAGTATGAAGACCGGTGCGAGAAATTAGGACTCTACACCTTGTCCTACCGTCGGGTGCGAGTCGACCTCATTATGACCTACCATATTCTACATCTCGGTGACTTCCCAATGCTAGGGCCAATACTGCACTTACGCGAGCCATGCAGCACACGCGGACACAGATACAAATTTGTTGTGCCGTCTGTGAAATGTGTTCCCCGCCCACTGTGCTTCGAACGGAGAGTGGTAAACATTTGGAACAGCTTACCTGAACATGTGATGGAGACAACATCTGTGCAGCAGTTCAAAACGTTGTTAGATTTATGTTTTACCACTATTCGATTTAGAGAACGATTGCACACTTAGGATGATATGTCACATTTGTGAGTCCTACAATACCGTGAGTCAGATATTTAAAATGTTACATGAGAACGCTACCGATATTCACGGTTGACAATTTTTATAACGTTTTTCACCATATTTCGAAAGAGTTGTACAGAATTCATTTCTACTTGCTCTATAATCCAGCATTCAGTATTCAATAGTATGCATGGTTCTTAATGTGCAAAAAACATCACCCAGCGCAACTCAATAGACCATTGAGGCTCGTAAGCCATCGAACCGCAGTCTCGTTGTCGTGCACTTTCCTTATCCGGCTCCGCCTGCATTGCTGATGGCAATGCAGCAGTTGTTTTGGTCATGAGGCTGCCGCCTGACCGTGTTCTGTGGCCGAATTTGGCTGATGTTACGTTTCCACACCGTGAAATCGCCCACACCGATGTGAACACAGCTGAGCAGTTGGAAGATTGGTGACCAGTTAGAGTTCGTCTCATTACGACAGTACTAGCTGACGCAGCCAGTTAGTCATGAGGGGTTTTTAATTTCTTAACATTGATTCAATATTCTTGTTAAATTCGTAAACTTCGGATTCAGACCCATGGATCTGAGAGAATTCATCGCACCACATCTGAAGATAAAGTAACTACGGGCGATATTGACTAGTGCATTTTGCAACGGAATAAACGGGTGGGTAATACGACAGTTTTACGTTTCTGACTCTTTCATAAAAGCGTTACTGATGACCGTTTCCCGATCTGCACACATTCAGTGTCGTACGAAACACGGTGGTTCCGCTGGCCGAGTGGAATATAAATGAATTTCGTTGGTGAGATTTCTCCAGCCATAGCCGAATATCGTCGGTACACTGGCCCTATGCTACTGGTAACAGCCTATAACATTAGATTTTCAATGAACCTAACTTCGAAAACGGTTGTATAAACACTCGTGCTGAATAATTGCACTGTGGGCGATTGGTTCGCCGATCTGTGGGCAAATTCATGATGTGAGATTTTTTAGTTATTATGTCTTAACGCATGGATTCGATGACTACTTTGCGTATAAATGATCGCTCTCGTCTAGGAGTCGTATACGGCTTGTTGGTAAATTTATTTATTCATTATTTATGTGTCATCTCACCAGGCGACTGCACCAACATTCGCATCCAATTTGTTGCAGATATCGATAACAAAATTTTTAGGGTCCACAACATATCACTGTCAGTGCTGTTTGGTCAGTCATGTAAGATCGTATTTTATGCTCCATCTAATCGGATTATAAAATCATGGTCATTTTCCTTCAAGCACTCCTTTGTGAATTCAACAGTTTTCTCAGTAGTTGAACGGTTTCCTTGTGGGGATGTCTACAGCGCATAAACATCTGGCGGTACTTTGTACGAATCGACTATCCGCGATGGCACTTTGTAATTTTCTTTTAAATCTCTTTAGATCTTTCTCTCCATTACTCCTAGATCGCTCCTCGGAACCCAACATCGGCCTTCCTTTTGAGTTGTGGCTTCGTATCTATTCACCAAGCCTACGTGATTGTTTAGTAAGCCGTGGTTGCGTCACCGTTGCTATACTGAGTGAACTTATCAACCAGAATAACTCAGATGCCGACCGATCCGCGCACTACACCCATTGCTCAATCCATCTTCGCGACGTGCACTTGGAACGGACCAATGGTCGACTGAACTTAGGCCTGACATACAGTATGCGGGATATGAAACCACCCATTCGCAAAACTACTCGTTCACCACCTCAATTGATCACTTTTAACAGTTCGATGCCGTCGCAGTCGGCGTCCGAACATTTCTCCTATCCTGATGTGCAGCTGATCCAGAATGTATGCCTTCCTGGGGTTCGGATGACGGTTCAGCTCCATGGCTTGACTGGTTTGGCCCCCTCGTCGAAATCCCCACGGTCGGTTGGTTTTTGTGGACACGTTCGCTTACACTGCCTCCTTATTCGGAACACTGGTTCAGTGGGATCCGAATCGTGCCAGTGTTTGGTACTCGGCTCAGCTGCATCTAATCACCTACGTGGTTCCTATTTTGCAAATAATTTGGACACTAACTTGGAAGTACTGCTTCCCTTTTCATGGCGTTGCCTGTCAACGGGATCACCCGCAGAGCCTTATCGGGACTTGAATGTGATTGAGCTGTTGTTGAACGGGGAGGAAATGCTGCCGTTTCACTCCGCCGCACAGTCATTTTCCAAGTGGGCTCTTATCGTTCAGGTGGATCTCTGGCAACAGTCATCGGTGGATAACATAGCTGTCGATCTGCTAAACAGTGAAAAGTCAAACTTTTTGGACATGGGATGGAGTGAGTTGTGTTTCTCCGAGGTGGCAATTTGCATCAGGTAACCACAGTTCTCTTTCCTTGTTTCCAACTTAAGGATATCACACATTTATGTCACTTTTCATCAGTCACTTTCATTTTTCCAGACATAACTTTCTGGAAACATTTGGTCAGCTTCCACGTTTCGGTCCTTCTTCACTGAACTGGATATTTCCTTCATGTCCACCTGGGATTTCTTAGTACACAGATGATCTGCACATTTACACTGTCCTGTGAACACAGAGCAACCACACTAACTTCGAGCAGATAGTTTTTCCTTATATGCCTCAGTGAAGCTAGTCGAAGTTGCATCATGGTATGGTTGATGCTGCTGATTAGACAGTAGAAACGAATGCCCTGACAGCGTGTGTGTTCGATTGCACGCATGCCTGCGCAGCCAAATAATCATTATGGACTTAGGTTCGAAGAACGAGGCTAGATTGTTTCCGGTTGATTCATCTGGTTGAAGGCTAATAGTTTGGCCATTTTCGATGCTTCATCATTCCGATCAAAGTAATTCTTGCTCTCAGGTATCTTCAGTTAGTTCAGATTGGAAATTTTCCGTCGCATAATCCACTGAGAGTCAGGACAAATTCGGACAGTATACTAAAAATAAAACAATAAATAAATCGCAAGTTGTACGCCGTAACGGCGCTTCGCTGCCACGCGACCATCATCAGTCGCGCGTGGGCTGAGTATACCGAGAGGACGCTCGCCCCCACGCGGGTCCGAACCGGTGGCCTTATGGTTGCAATCCAGACGCGCATACCACTCGGCCATCGACCGGCAGATAGCATACTGGCTTTTAGTTTATAACAATTTGAAGTACTATTAAATTGTAGCAATTTTACGCTGGTTAGTTCTCATCGCGGCGCAGCTTGTATGCCTAACTGCATTGTCCCGCACGCGCTCTTCGTTCGCTGTGTTCGGCCAACCCCGATCACCGCGTCTAAGAGTACCTCGTTGTAGGTTCATTCTAGACTCTGGCTACTCTATGGTGTCTATTTGACTCGGGCACTTGTCGTTGGCTCGCGTGGATGACACTTGATTCGCTTTATGCCTAGTGGCTTCGCATTGGCCCCGGGTACACTCCCTAGTACTGGCGCGGGGACTTTTTTCCAGCTAACTGCGATGGCGTCCATTGAAACAAACTCAGTGAATCGGCATTATTGCTAAGATAGGTGTTGCTAAAACTGTCGTGGGGAATTCTGAAGACATTTTTGTGGTTTTTAAATAGCATTTCTGCCTTTAGTTCCTCTACACCTGTCAGAGCCAAGGGATTAAAGTGATAGAGCAGGGGAGCAACGCCTTGGCTTCGTTTGACCAATCGTTTGACCAATCATCATCACACCCTGTGTTGTCAGCCAGGGTTTGTTAGTGTGCTTTCACTGTGCCCGAGCGACGTTCATTAGCTCCAGTTCTGTCTACCGCAATGAATTGTGTTTCTCTTGCAACCTACTGAACCTCACGTTTGCACGCAAAACCTCACAATGCACCCACCAAACTTATTGGGGAGGGATGTTTCACCGGCGATTCTATCCGATAGTCATCTACGCCTTTCTTCCTCTCCATCCAGAGGTGTAGTAATGGGGCGGGGAGGGGGGAGGCAGTCCGCCCTGGGCAGCATGTGACAGGAGGCGGCATTGTTATAACAGATGTGTTCGATACCAATTGTAAATTCAACCAAAGTGCTCCCATGACCGAAGTAGCCAAAACGAAAGGTGATAATTATACTGAGACGGAAGGTGAATTTGTTACTGCAAACTTTGAACCCGGGCAACAGAATGCGACATTGGAAATATTTCGGTGTTGCTCATCCCAACACTGGCACGCCACTGGTGGCGATCGGAATGACCGAAGTTTGCGTCAAGTGAACCGAGGTCTCAATAGAGGTTGCGTGTCGCAACCCAACCGCACAGCGGGTTCTCCAAGTCCAACTTAGAATGCGACAATGACAGCGTTGATATAGCGGGAAAAGTTTGTAGTGCTGATGGGATTTGAAATTCAATCACCACTCGGCACGATAACACGCACATTAATCGATTTTACGTGTCAGTCTTTGGTTTGTCAAGATTGACCATCAACTTTGCACCATGCTTGTCCGGCTGGGGATCTACCGCTGTGCTGCACCTCGACTATGAATTCAAAGAAGTACCGGGACATGGAAGCTAGGAAGCTGACACGAAATGCTTTTTTCGGGACTTTCGAGTAAATATTTTGAACATGCATGCTGTATCCTTCATCTAAAGTGTCCTGTTTTGTTTCTGTTGCCGCATGTTTTCAAAAGGACAGTATAGTTTTTCCACTGTTGAAGATTTCAGAAGTTGGTGGAAATTAAATCCATGTGACTATACCTTTTTCCATTGAATTTGGTCATTCGGGCAAAACATTTAGGCCTGTAGGTCAACAGGGTTGCTCCTCCGGGGCAATCATTTTGAGTCTTCGGTATGCGGAAATGAACCACTCTCTGGCTTTGTAGGGGCTGTTTCATTGGCCAAGCGCCTTCAGCAAATAGGACCTCAGACGCATATCGGTGGCATGGACCCAATTGAGACGCCGCAACCGAAACATGAGCTCACACACCTCTGTGCACAGTGGACGGGGGTGACACCATGTGCGACTGTGTTCCTCTACCCACAGAAGGGCATGTAACCAATCAGCGCACACCAAAGACACAGACGATTGGAGGGTAGGGAAATAGGAAAACGAGCTTGATAACATGTACCATCTTGAGAGGTAGCTACAACAAGCAGCGATGCTCTGGGTGGCTGCGGGAAGTTCTCGATACCAACGGAGCAACGTTTTTGCGAGGTTGCGTTGTGGTTTGCGACAACGCACCCTGTCACACGAACCTGGAGCAAGTGTTTTCGGAGGACCGTTATCGCTCTGAGAGACTTCTACGTCTTGCACCATACTCTCC